CTTTATAACAAAATAAATAATAAACTTAAAAACAATTTCAAAATTTAGGAATATCTCTATTGCACTTACATCAGACATATGGGCTTGTAGATCAAAAACCGATTTTTTAACTTTTACAGTACATTTCTTAGATCATAATTAAGGTTTACAACAAAATTGATGGGTTTTAAACCATATATGAAAAGCATAGTGCTGAAACTATTATTTTACAATTCTTGAAGTTTTGCAAGATATTTATTAACTGATAAGTTGTAACGCTAACGCTTGATAATGTAGCTGCTAACTGTTAAAGTAGATGCCCTAGAGCCAATCAATTATAGAATTGACTCTTCGTGATAATGTTCATTAATCAATAAAGGCATTTTTTTTTATATCGCGTAATCATTATTATTGCAATATGTATTGATATATGTCCTTAGAATGGTAGAACCGTGACGAGGGTATCAAGTGTTTCAAATCTTGATAGTGAGAACCCTATGAGCACATATGGTGGACATTCTAGAAACGTCTGTAGCCCCAGTATTATTCTAAAGTAAGGGCACAGATAATACGGTAAGGCTATCATAGTGTTGAACGACCCTGTCGAAAGGTAGTGACTGATCTCACTTGTCGAGGTTGTTTGGTGACAACCTGGTGCAACACATGGGTGCTTGCTGTAGGCAGATATATCGTAGTAAGTTCACTGGACTGACCCATTAGAGGATTCCATATGGATGGTAACCCTAGCGGATGGTGGTGCATGTGATCCTTAGACTTGAGATCATTGAAGTGCCTTGTGCACCGATTGGTGCAGTTTGACTAGCCTAACGCAGTTCTATTCAGAGCTATCAATACGGTGGTGATTGGCTGTATCAAGGAGTGTATCAAGACTATGGTGGATAGACAGAGGATTCATCACTCCTAGGTACAGGAGAAGTTATCTCACGGCGCAATTCAGTAAATGGCAATGACACTATAACTATGGCCACAGTGGGATTGAGTTGTTGCTCTATCCAGTTTATAATACAGGTGATTGATCCAGAAACTGAATACATAATATCGAGAGTAACCGAAGGTTGACACTATTTCTATGCCTTCATCTCGTCAAGATAATGTATGATGAAATGATCGAATTGTACGGTAACCATATCGTTGAAAAGGTAGCTACTTTACTAAATCTGAATCTATCGGGTGGCCATGATGCCTTGCTAGGGGCCAATATTGGTCTGTGTATTAGTGAGATGATTAATTGGTGTTAATCACGATACTATACACTACCGGTATGATGAGGAGCCTATGGGTCACACACATAGAAGAAAATTTAAGACTCAGGAAGAAAGAAGGGCGTTTTCGTCTTTTTGGGCAAAAGGGTATTTTGGTAATTTCATAGTGCAATTAAATTTGCAGAGGTCATAGCCTTTTATTTAATTTGTTAGAAAAATTAAATAAATTATCGTTATTGTTAAATGTTAATATATATATTAATTGATTTTAATTGAAGATAATGATGAATTAAAATAAATATCTAATTGGGAGTGTTTGGTAACATGGGGCGTTTGGGTTGGAGCCCAAGCCTATTCTATATGGGAATAAGGCAACTAAGTTTTCAATATAAAAGAAAAAAAGTTATTTGTAAAATAATGCAATTGATTCACTGTTCATTTTCTCTTTGAAAACAAAAACACAGCAGCCCCATATTTCCTCTCCCACGGTAGAATTCATTTTTGCCTAAAATCAATCTATTTGATTTTTCTTCTTTAATCTTAAAGCTAAGGAGGATCTAGCAAATCCCTCCTTAGTTCTTTGTGATTGTCTTCGTGTAGACTACGTTGGTTCGATCCTACACTTGGGTCGGTAGCAAAACGTTCAAAGACAAATTTGGAGGAGCCTCCAAACGTATGTATGTCTTTGTAAACTCATGATTAATTTTTCTGCAGATTTCTACTTTAGTATAAACTGTAAAATTATACCTTTGATCTTGGCTCTTTGGAACGATCCTTGTATTATGATTTTTGTTTTCCGCTGCGTATATGGATCGTTTTCTAACACTAACACTGTGGCAATCTCTTTATTTGAAAAGAGATTGGATCCACGTGGTGAAGGCAAATTCTTTCACTAGAGATGTGCTTGCCACATCATCAATTTGATAGTTAAAGCAGGTTTAGATGCTATACATTCGAAGATGGAGAGGGCGTCCACGGCTATCGGATTTATCGTCAACGATAGCAATAAAAGATGGCAGGAGTACGTCAAATATTGTAAGCAAGATGACCCACCGGTTCGACCTTTGAAGTTATGTACAGACATGCCTATCCGTTGGAGCTCCACCTACTTGATGTTGGAAAAAGCTTTGCCAACCGTGAAACAAATTATAGATTTCGTCAACCGGAATCACTATCCAGAGAAAGTTGTTAGCTATGATGATTGGGCGGTTTGTGAACTTTTTTATTCATTTCTTCAAATTTTTATGATGCTACTAATACATTAAGTGGTATTTATTATCCAACTACTAATTTAGTGTTAGATATTTTACTTCAAATTGCTAAAACTTTTGCTCAATATAAATATAATAACATTTTAAGGGAAATTGTTTTAAAGATGCAAGAAAAATATGAGAGATATTGGTTAGATATTCCATTCTTATATAGATTAGGCCTTGTTCTAGATCCTAGGTTTAAATTACACATAGTTAACTATATAATTACTGAGATAGGCTAGCATTTAGGACATGATTATACGTCTTATTTGACTGACTTTAAACAAAAATTGGATAGCCTTTTTTCTTTATATGAGAACAGGTACAATGGAAGTGGAAGTGGAATGTTCAGGAGAGAGGATCCAGACCTTAATGCAGCCTTCCGTCAAGGATCGAGCAAGTGGACGTATGTGGAACATGGCGGAAGTAATAGCTCCAGCTCATACATACATGGACCAAATGAGTTGAATCGCTACCTACAAGTGGACATGTCCTTCATGATGATGAATGAGGAACATGATATGGATATTCTTCAGTGGTGGAACCAACATGAAAGTCGATTCCCCATTGTAGCCCAAATGGCACGTGACATTTTATCTGTGCCGGTTTCTACAATTGCATCCGAGTCAATATTTTCAACGAGTGGTTGAATTGTTGAAGACAGAAGATGTTCTTTAACCGATGAGATGATTGAAGTGATAACGTGTTTACGGGATTGGACTCATGCAGAAAGAAGACTACAACAGCACGCTGAAGATCTTGAACTACTTGAACTCTTTAGGAATATAGATTTGAATGATATAAATATTGTTGACGATGAAAATAAATAATTTAATAAAAAAATTTATTTAATTGTTTATTTGTGAGACGTGAATGTGTGAAACGTGAATTTATGTTAAAAATTAACTATTAATTAATTTATTATTTTTTAAATTAATTAATTTTTTATAAACTTATTAATCTACCCCTAAAAAAATACTAAAAACCCCCTATAAAATTTCATTTCGCCCTTAAAATATAAAAAAAGACTGGGGGGGAAAAGAAATTATCTAGGCCAATAGGACCAGTCCTAGGACCGGTATTGGGCTCATAGGACCAGTCCTAGGGACCGGTCCGAGTCCTAATATTACTCATGGACCTGGGATCGGTCCTAGGCCCATGAGCGACTGGTCCCATTTGGGACCAGTCCCAAACGGGCCCAAGCTTGAGCCTGCTTGGGACTAGTCCTTGACTAGCTCTAACTGAGTCGATGGCCAATGGTGGTGAGTCACGGCCGACAATGGTCTTGGGTGGCTGAGGGTATTTTGTTAACTTTTAAACTTTTTTGTGGTTGGGGGTGTTTTAGCTAATTTCTTAAATATAGGGAGGCTAGGTAATTGTTATTTGGTAGACATTTGAGGGCAATTGTGTCCGAAATGAGTTTTAATTAAGGGCAGAATGGGAAGAAAAATCATATTACCTTAATAATGTTTTAATAACAACCTCTAGTAAGGCAATAAGATTACCCTCCACATTACCAACAGTAACCATTATTTGCTATAAAAGATTAATATAATATTTTATTACTTGCAAACTAAACACAAGAATCTTGAAAAATAAACGATATTACCCCTGTTATCTTATTTACCCCCGATCCAAATGGCCCCTCAAGGTAATGATATTCCCGACACCTTACCCCCCNAAAAAAATTGCAACTAAATTTATTAGTCACTAAAGCAACCGGTTCTGTGACTAACAAAATAGTCGCAAAAAAATAACTTTAGATGCCAAATGTTGGAACATGTGGGCCCTAAAATGTTAATCCTCTTTGCTCGACTAATGTCAATTTAGTTGGTAAATGTAGCCTTTTTGCAACTAATTCTGGTTAGTTGCTAAAAAATTGGTTGCAAAATGTCATTTTTCTTGTAGTGTTCTTTTTTTTTCTTTTTTTTTGCAGGTTTATAAAACTGTTGTAAAAAGACCCGTTGGCTTTTGCGAATCCAGTTAGCTTTTGTGAAGACACCCAACACAATTGTACTTATTTCTATTTTAATTTTGCCATTGTTAGTACTTTTTTTTCCTTTTAACACAAGCATCAAAAAATTGTGCAGCTTCATATGTTCTATATGTAATATGTTGTATGTAATGGATAAATTTTGGGCGTAAACAATTATTGGATTATTAGAAATATTTTTTTTTCGGATTTCACTAACTGATATATTTGTTCTGTAGATTCGACATCGTTCTTTAATCTTAACAGCAAATTACGCTCATATGCACAGATGTCAGTATAATTTCTCTCGACGTCGCAGGGTTGATAACTACTTGTAGCAGAGGCAAAAGTTTCAACGTTTTTCCAGACTTAGAGTTCATCATACACCCAGTTGGTCTACATTGTCTATATCTGCCCCTGCATTAATGTCATCAAGCAGTGTCGGATCGAACGAGGTATAAGTTTATCTGTGTTTACTTGATTACCACCACATGTTAGTATTATATTTTGTAATGTGATTGGTGACTCGTATGGTGTCCCAATGTTGGTTGTCTCTCACCGTACTGTCTTTAGATGAGTGATTCTGTGGCTTGGTCTGTTGAGATGACCCACAAATTTCTAGTCCTGTTATCTGAGCGAGCCAAAACTTTGCACGGTACTGCAATAAAAACAGCAGATTACCAGGAAATGTTGGACGACATATCATTAGTGGCTGGCAGGAGACTCAACGTCACACAATTAACCTCTAAGTTCTTTCGCCTGCGAAGAGTATATCAAGCATGGCGGAAATTGCTGCAACACACGGGGTTTGGGTGGGATCACGAGTCACAAAGTCCAACGTGTCCCGTTGAGGTTTGGCAAGAATATGTCAAGGTAAATTTTCATATTTTTTAACTAATATTATTCAATGACACCGTAATTATACACATTTTTTTTTCGGACTGCTAAATATTAATATATTATTCTTTTAACTAACCAGCAAAACCCATTGGCGCAACAATTTTACCACAAGGGACTTCCTCACAAGGAGCTTTATGAAATCATATTTGAGAAACAAACTGCCACCAGGAGATATGAATACACATCTACATCTCAACCGGTGGAGACCTCCAATTATTCCAGTCAGGGCGCGGTTCCCATGGATGATAGCGACTTTGAACCTGATCCAGATCAGACGACAGGGGAAAAACAGCCAAACACATCTGGCCATGGAAGAGCGAGAAATAGGAGGAACAGAAGCGATCCGGGACAATCACTTGCGGATGTCATTGGTAGATTGACAGACGAGCTTGTGGAGAAGCAGACTATGGGATCGAGGGCTAGCAATCGCAGTGCAGATAAGAGGGACGAAGAGAACACCAGTGCTCTATCTGATCCTTTTTCCATGAGCAATTGTATTGACATCATGACGGCCATGCAAGTACCGACACAGTTTTACCTGCTGGTTGTCCAGTACTTATACGAAAATCCTGGGTCGCGGGAGATATTCGTGAAACTCCTGCTCAAGGAAAAGGCTAACTGGATTTATAACAACTTTCCCAATAAGTAGATGACACTATATTTCCTAAGTGTTTGACAACAATTTTGTATGTGTCAATGGGCAGTTGTCATTACAATTACAATTTATAATGCTACTGTATGAACTTATTAATTGTGGTATTGTTTTATGTGATATTACATGTTTAACACCGTTTTGGATTGTCATTAGAATTAAATATTGACTGTTATATTTTGCTAAGTAGTACAACAACTGTTAATTGTTGATAAATATTTTGCAAATTTGTAGGTTTAAATGGCATCGTCTAGCCGTACAAGAAGAAGACGACGTGCTACAGATGACGAAGAAGAAATACTGACAGATATAGCCATTGCACTCTACGGTGTTGCCGCGTTAGAAGCAAGTTGGCGTGAACTACGACATACATCCGTATTAACTGGTCATGAGTACATGTTGGAAGTACTCAATGGTCATCCTGACAGGATCTATGACAAGTGTCGCATGGACAAAGACTGTTTTACATACTTATGTGAAATTTTGTCCGATCAAGGCAAATTGCAACCAACCAGGAAGACGAGTTTGGAAGAACAAGTTATGATATTTCTAACAATTGTTGGAAAAAACGAGACAATCAGAACGATGATGGAAGATTTCCAACATTCGGGTGAGACGATCTCTAGACATGTTGGCGTAGTTTGCGACGCTATATGTGAGTTGAAGACAGAGTTTATTAGACCACTTGACTTCAATGATGTTCCATGGGAAATATCAGCCAACAGAAAATATTACCCTTTCTTTAAGGTATTGGTTCATTATGTTTTCTATTAGTGGATAGTTAAGTTCATTGTGTTATTAATTTTGATAGTCGGTTAATATGAGTAAAATTCAATTTTCATGATAGGACTGTATTGGAGCCATTGATGGCACACATGTATACGCTTCGAATCCACATGAATTTGCCGATAGGTACCGGAATCGCAAAGGAGCGTTGTCACAGAATGTAATGGTTGTATGCGACTTTAGGATGATGTTCACTTATGTCGTTACTGGATGGGAAGGATCTGCGCATGATTCAAGAGTATTAAAATCAATTCTTGATGATCCTACTTCTGGATTCCCACATCCTCCACCAAGTATAAGTATTTTCTTGATGTATTATAGCGTATTTGCTCCACTGTTGAGGTCTTGTAATTCAAATAAAATGTCTGATATTATTACAGGGAAATACTATTTGGTTGATACAGGTTATCCAAATAGAGATGGGTTCCTCGCCCCTCATAGGTGAGCGGCTTACCATATTTCTGATCACTACCGTAACCGAAGGGGGCCACAAGAGTTGTTTAACTACAGACATGCTTCACTCCGCAATGTTGTCGAGAGAACCTTTGGTGTTTTGAAAAGACGGTTCCGTATTCTGAATGGAATGAACAATTACCCATTAGACAAACAAGGGAAGATTGTTATGGCATGTTGTGTACTTCATAATTTTATCAGAATGTACAATATGGACAATCGTATCTTCGAACAAACCAATAATAGTACGGGTAATGAGCAAGTATATTGTGATCGTCAAAACGGGACAGAATATGGCCGAAATGGAGAAGGACCGAGTCAACCGCAACAAGGTATTATAGACAACATGACGACTATACGGGATAACATAACGAATGCACTATGGGCAGCACAGTGGACCATGTCGTAGTTGTGAATGGAGCATACGTGTAAGAATGATTGTAAGGGTTGATAATTAGTACTTTTGTCATATATATATTAATGTGATGTTTTTAAACAGTTGGATTAGTACTTGAAATTAATATAGGTTTTTGTTTTTTAATATTTACAGATGACAAAATTATCAATAAAATGTTTAATGATAAGTTATATGAATAATAATATATTATTTTAACAAAATGCAACAAAATATTATATTAATAAATCAATTATAAAAAAATATATCAATCAAATATTTAACACAAATATCAAGGTCAAAATACTCTACCAAACACATATTATGCAAATCCTATTCTCGTAATCATAACTCTACTCAACTATCCAATATTATTCCCAAAATTTTATCCAAAATAATGAACCAAACGCACCCTAGAATACCACGGTCATATTACATCTATAAATCTAAAATATTACAGTCGTATTACATCATCTATAAATCTAGAATATCAGAGTCATATTACATCATCTATACCACTATTCAGTTAATTTATATTAGTTGTGAAATTTTCACTCTCATTTATCTTTATATTGAATGTAATTGATAGTCACTAAATATAAAATTACTTGGTATGCAAACATTGACTCGGATGCCACATCATCAATTCCACCGTCTTCTTTGTGGCATAATACCTTAGGATCCCACATCTACCAATTATGGAACTAGAGAATGGTTTTATTTACAAACCAATGAGCAAACGACTATTTCCCACCCAAGGTTTGCCTTAATGACATTTATCCACCCAAAAAGTTTTAAAATACCAAATTACCACCCGAATATCATGCTCCGTTAAATACAGTGATTTTAATTGTAAAGACGGAAATGCCCTTTAACAGTTTGACTGGAATTTTTCTAATTAGTATATGTCATGTCAATGCAATCAATTAGCAATATACCCTTTTTTAATTGTGTAATTACTGATATACCCTAACTATGTGTAAAGATTGAATTACCAATTCCTCCAATACTAAAAATCAATCAGTATTCGCTTAGATTCAAAAATTTCGAAGCAGTTAATATTACCATCCTTGTGTTTGATGCAAAATAAACTCACATTTATATAATTAATTTTATCAACTAAAACCCAACAAGAGTGCAATACAAATATCTTCAATCTGGCTAAATAAAAAAGTAGGTTTTGGAGAGGGAGAACACAAAATGGAGTTAAAATCAATTCATTGTTATTGTCATAAATCTCATTAAAAAATATCAAAGCCAATTAATTATCATTGTCACAATTCTCACTCAAAAATATCAAAGCCAATTCAGTCTCCATCTCCCTATATGCCACCATCATAAATCTATGATCAATAATATATATATAGAGCAAAAATATGACCAATATTCGACCCATCCTGGGTGACAAACATGGTTAGTGAACATAAGACTTTAATTTTGGTGCTTCCTGTAGTCCAAACCCTTGATGATCTCCAAGGGTTATGTACCTGAAACAGATTAAATCAATAACTTCCCCTCAGAATTTTCACAAACTTATAATACACACAGTATACAAATAATTAACCAGCTTTACACAAAAAAAAAATAATAATAAATAAATAAATAAATAAATAAATAAAAATTCCAACAAAAACAAGTAAAAAACAAGCAATTTTTCAATCAGCCACCTCAAATTCACCTCCCAATCCCAATCCCATCCAAAATAGTTATATAGCCTTATTGACTATCCAATCAAAGATTATTATTATTTCTGCCTAACCCTTACAGCAAGGTTACTACAGAGTAACCAAAATAGAAAAATTTACATTCAGAACCAGAACATTGCCATCAATATAAATAACTCAAGTAGCTGAAACTTGACATTAAGATGAAATGAGTTGCTTTTGCTTTAAGAAAATTGATATAGCATCAAAAGAAAAATTATATTATCTATATATACTGCCTATATAGTTGCAAATTCAAGAAATTCAATTGCAAACCATTATTTCAAATTTCAACAATATCGTGCAACTAGCAACAAACAATGATTACGCGGAATTCATCCTTCATGGAAGCATCAGTAATATATCAAAACAAGTGTAAAATGCATGGCACAACTTGGACAAACTACCTCACCCTGAAACAAATTAAGTTAGCAGATTCATCTTCGAGAAATCTGTTCATACAATTGACAAGACAAAGGAATGTGTCAAGATTTATACCCTATTTTGAGAAAATTTCTTCTTCACGCAATAGTGATGAATTCAAGCGAGGCAACCTTTGGTTTGGGACAATTCTCCGTGTCAAATATAATTAGAATAAAGTATCAATGGACTCAGTAATCAATGATTTAGCAACTCAGCTTAAAACTATGACTAATCCATCAGTTTGATGTTTAAATCATTAAGTTCTTTGGTAAATTGCAAGAACTAGGCATTATATTTTATCTCTGATACTATGCATATGAGCATATCTTTAAATATATCTTAACCTCCAACTACTTGACCCGTATAATAACTATATTAGCTGGAAGCGTTACAAACTTAATTATGTTTTTTGATAAAGCATCAAGAACAACCTAAAAAGAACTTCCTTTAAGGATATCAAATAAGCTAATTGGGTAAAATAATCATATGGACTAATCAAATTAAAAACAAAAACAAAACTTTGCACTAAACAAACATCAATCAGATCTGGAAAGTAGAGCGGCAAAGAAACAATTGAATACAACCTTCAATGCAGCTTCATTGCACTCTTCACAGGAAGGAACATCCAGATTGCAGAACCAACTCCGCAAATCAAGGCAAGACCTGACACCAAGTCCTATTTTACCATCTTCTATGTAACAAAGCCACTTGTCCTGCACCAGCTCATCCGAAGTTTTTTCCTTCTAAGACATTGTGAAATTTCTGAATGCAACAGGAACATGAACAACATTTTGTGACCATGATTTCGTACCAGCAAGAACCTGAAAATGTACCATGAGAATCATAAAGCACTAACCCTATGTACAAGAAAACAACAAACAAATCTTCCTGTCATTAACCCATTCGCAAACGAAAAGAACAAAACAAAAACCACATTTTTTCCCATACAACCTCCAGTAAACGAAAACAACAAAGGTGCAAAAAAAGATGACCACCACTAGTCCTCCACAAGTTCAACTACTCGCAAAAGTAAACCTTATCGTTACCAACCTCAACGATGAACGACTCAAAAGCCGTAAGTCAGCAAACCAACTGTCAGTGGAAGCCACTAAAGAACTTGTCGTTCGCCTAAAAAACAAGTCCTTTGCCGAAAAAACTTGCCGATAACAACCCCAAACCTTTATCGTCAACACTGTAAACGAACCCAAAACTCCACCCCGCCAGTCTACCTTGTCATT